CTTTTAATAATCACACCGAATGTGAATAGCTTGAATGCACTACTGAAGAGGGAAAGAGTAGCAGATTGGATAAAAAAACAAAATCCATCCATATGCTGTCTTCAAGAGATACATGTGAAAAATGAAGATAAAGAAAAAATAAAAATAAAAGGGTGAGAAAATATACACCAAGCAAATGGCTCCCTGAAAAAAGCAAGAGTAACAATATTAATCTCTGATAAAATACATTTCAATGAAAAAACCATCACAAAGGACAAGGAAGAGCACTACATAATGCTTAAAGGGTCAATAGAACAAGAGAACATAACAATGATAAATATCTATGTACCAAATGAAAGACCTGAAAAATATATAAAACAAATATTAAGAAAACTGAAAAAGGAAATAGACAACAGTACTATAGTACTTAGAGACTTTAATACACCACTTCTCAAGACAAGAGAGAACTACTAGAAAGAAACTCAACAAAGACGCTGAAGAATTAAACCACACAATAAACCAAGTCAATCTCATTGATATTTACAGGCTAATACACCCCAGAAATGCAAAGTACACCTTTTTTTCCAATGTGCATGGAACGTTCTCCAGAACTGATCACATTTTAGGTCACAAGGAAAGCATCAATAAATTAAAAAAACTAGAAATAATACAAAGTATCTTCTCAGACCACAATATTACAAAATTAGAAATTAATAACAAGAGGATAAAAAAGAAAAACATACATTTGGAAGCTGAACAAAACCTTGCTTGAACATGAGTGGGTACTAGAAGAAATAAAAAATGAAATTAAAAAGTTTCTTGAAACAAATGATAATGAAAACACCACTTACCAAAACCTCTGGGAAACAGCCAAAGCAGTAATCAATTTACAGCAATAAGCAAACACATCAAAAGGCACGAAAAAAATGACCATTGACTCTATCCCAACATCTCCAACAAATTAGAAAAGAATAGCAAGAAAACCTGACACCCTCTAAAAAAACAAAATAGAGCAGAAAGAAATGAAATAGAAAACAGAAAAACAGTTAAAACCATCAACAAAACTAGGAGTTGGTTCTTTGAAAAGGTCAAGAAAATCAACAAACCACTAGCAAAACTAACAATGGAAAAGACACAAATAATCCAAATAAAAGATGAAGCAGGTAATGTGTCACAACAGAACCAATTAAAATAAAAAGGCTAACAATGGCATATTATAAAAAACTATACGCAAACAAATATGAAAACCTACAGGAAATAGACAAATACTAGAAATTCACAACCTACCTAAACTGACACAAACCAAAACTGAATACCTGAACAGACCCATTACAAAAAGAAGAAATTATAAAGGTAATAAAATAACTTCCTGCCAAAATAAAGGCCTGGACCAAATGGTTTTACAAGTCAATTTTATCAAACATTTAGAGAAGAACTGTCAACATTCTACATAAACTATATCAGAGAACAGAAAAAGACGGAATTCTCCCAGACACGTTCTATGAAGCAAAAATATCCTTGATACCAAAGAAAGGTAAAGACACTACCTAAATAGAAAACTATAGGCCAACATCTCTCATGAAAATAGATACAAAAATCCTGAATAAAATTCTGGCCAATAGAATCCAACAATACATTAAAAAATAATTCACATGACCAAGTGGGATTCATAAAAGGTATTCAAGGATGGTTCAACATAAGAAAAACAACCAGTGTAATTTATCACATTAACAAAGCAAAAAACAAGAACCACATGAGCCTATCAATGGATGCAGAAAAGGCCTTTGACAAAAAAAAATCCAACACTCTTTCCTGATTAAAACAGTCAACAAAGTAGGATTAGAGGGGAATTTCTTCAACATAGTAAAAAGTATACACACAAACCAGAGAGCCAACACTTCTCAGTGGAGAGAGATTAAAAGCATTTCCTTTGAGAACAGGAATTAAGCAAGGATGGCCACTCTCATCTCTCCTATTCAATATTGTATTGGAAGTCTTAGCAATATCAATAAGACAAGAGAAGGAAATAAGAGGTATCCAAACTGGGAAAGAGGAGGTAAAATTATCTCTATATGCAGATGATATGACAGTATACTTAGAAAACCCTAAAGACTCAGTAAAAAAAGTACTGGACATAGTTGACCAATTCAGCAAATTGGCAGGACCCACGATCAACATACAAAAATCAATTAGAGTTTGCTACTTTGACAAAGAGAATACAGAACTGGAGCTAAGAAAAACAGTACCCTTCACAATAGCTAATCACACGATTAAGTATTTGGGAGAAAATCTAACCAGAAGCACCAAGGATCTATTCAAAGAAAATTACAAAGAATTACTACAAGAAACAAAAAGAGACCTGGAGAAATGGAAGAATATACCTTGCTCATGAATAAGAAGACTCAATATTGTAAAAACAACAATACGACTAAAAGCAATTTGCACGTTCATACAAATACCAATTCCTTTCTTCAACGAGATAAAAAAGGCAATCTCCAATTTCAAATAAGCAAAGCACTCCTTGAAAAGAGAAACAAGGTAGGAGGCATCACCCCCTGATTTCAAATCCTACTACACTGCCATGGTGGTCAAGACAGTATGGTACTGGTACAACGACAGACAGATAGATCAATGGAATAGAATAGAGAACCTAGAAATCAGCTACGGTCAACAGATTTTTGACAAGGAGATGAAATCAGTTAAGTGGGGAAATGACAGCCTTTATAACAAAGGGTGCTGGCAAAATTAGAAAACTATCTGCAAAAACTTCAAGCAAAATCCACATCTCACTCCACACACAAAAAATCAACGCAAAGTGGATCAAGGACCTAGGACTAAAACCAAGGACTATAAACAAGAAAACTTTGGAAGAACTCTAGAAGACCTCATCCACATGAACAGTCTTCAAGCATACTGAAAAATCTACCACCAGGAGAGAATAAGATAGATGAAGGGGACCTTCTAAGAATCAAATCCCTATGCACATCCAAAAACTTCTCTAACAGGATAAAAAGGGAAGTCACAGACTGGGAAAAAAATATTTGGCAATTACATGTCTGATAAGGGATTTATATCTAAAATTTATAGAATACTCAAGCACAACAACAAGATAAAGGTAAACAACCCAACTGAAAAATAGGCACAGGATATGTACAGACACTTCACCAAAGAAGACATTCAGATGGCCAACAAACACATGATGAAACATTCAAAATCCCTCAGTCTAAGAGAGATGCAAATCAAAACAACTATGAGATATCTCACCCCAGTAAGAATAGAAAAATTCAACAGAGCAGCAAACAACAAATGCTGGCGAGGCTGTGGAGAGACTGGAACCTTTATTCACTGTTGGTGGGGTGTAAAATGGTGCAACTATGGAAGGCAGTATGGTGCTTTCTCAAAAAGTTGGAAATATACATACCATTTGACCCAGCAATTCCACTACTGGGAATATACTCTAAAGAAACTAGAACTGTCACCCAAGCATATATATATCTACACACCCTTGTTTATTGCAAATTTGTTCACCATAGCAAAGAGTTGAAAACAATCCAAGTGCCTATCAACAAAGGAATGGATAGAGAAGCTCTGGTATATTCACACAATGGAATATTATGTTGCATGGAAAAACAAGGAACTCATGAAATACTATACAAAATGGGTGACCATAGAGAACATTATGCTGAGTGAAACATCTGTCACAAAAGGAAAATACTGCATAGTGCCACAGTTATAAAAAGGGACTGACATTGGGATTGGGGAGAACCTAAGAAAAGAGGGTATAAATCATGTATACCGCATTGAAACAGATGAGAGAGAGAACTGTTTAAAAGGAATATATGATTAGGTATTATTGTCATGACAAAAGTCCAGAAAGAAAGCTGCATAGTGGAGTG